TATTCTTCCTAAAGTTAATCCTACCCAGCAGGTCCCTAAGAATGCTTTATTTGTTTGTTTGTTTGCATCAAGGAATTTGGTGAGAAAATCTTAGTGGGGAGATTAATACCTGTCAAAAGCTGTACAGAATTTCCCAGGGAGAAACCAAGAGGAAAGAAAAGGATATTTTATCTTCATTGTGGAGAATTAGCAAGACATTTCTCATCTCTCCAAAGAGAATCTGCTCTATGTGCTTCCAAGTTATTTCCAGACCTGAATGTGTTATGCCCTTTACATACTGACTTCACCGATGTACCTTTATCTTCTTTTTTTTCTACAGATGGATCATCAACTTCGACTCAGTTATAACTTCTCCCCAGAAGTGGAGTTCAAGGCTATAAGGTCACTCACCTTGGGTAAAGTCACAGGTTTGTATTCTAGTCCTCATCTTTCCAATGGGCCTTGCTAAAATAAAAAAAAAAATAAATAAGCAACTTTCATCAGGATATTTAGTGACTCAGAGCTGGAGCTTTCTACTCCCATAATATCCAAGATCTAAAACAAAGATTTCTGGTATAGAAGCTAAGATGTATGTTTGGCCGAGCTGGAAGCTGGTATTTGTATCTATATTATGGAAGCTCAAATAAGAAAAATTAACAAAGAAAGTAAGTAATCTTTTTACTCAATTTCTAATCAAGCAATTTAAAAAGTTTAATTTTATTTTACTTAAATTTACTTAATTTTTACCTAAGGACATTAAAAATTTGAAAAACCCAATTATTAGATTGCTCAAATTCAAAATTTCTTTACTAATTCATCAATAATTAAAAGAGAATGGAAGTCTATTACTATAATAGTGGATTTTCTTTTTTTCTATGGGAAATTTAATAAATTTTCTTTTTATATATGATGGATGTATTTAGTAGGTGCATGGAAGATTGAAACTTTCTCGATGAACATTTTTTTCATACTGAAGTGATTTTTTTTAAACTATCTTTGCGCTCAAATCTATTTTATATCTTATTAATATAGCAACTCAATTTTACTTTAGTTAGTATTTATCTGGTCTATCTTTTTTCTAAATATGTTAACAGTTATTTTCCTTTAAGTATCATGTATGATCTTATGAAAAGCATACAGCTGGATTTTATGATTTATCCAATCTGCTCATCTCATTTTACAAATTGGCAAAGTATGTCCCTTTACATTTTTGTGTTACTTATAAGATAGAATTTACTTCTGCCTCCTTATCTGCTATTTAATTTTTCCTGTGGTTCTATCTTGTTCTTTTTACTCTCTCAATCATAGTATAGTGCAGGACACAATTACTGGAGGCATTTTAAAAAGGGATGGATTGAACACTGGAAATGAGTTCCTTGCAAAACTGTGGCAGCACTTATGGTGTAGATTCTTGTTAGTTTTTCAGAATGGCTATCCAAGCAATTTTGAGCTGATTAATGAAGAGCTGATGTCACTGGTGCTAGACAAGATCCCAGAGGCTGCTGTGACCCCCAGTACTGCATGTCAATTCCCAAGAGGAGAAGAAGATCTCTAAAAAATGGTAGCAGAGGACACTTCATGTTACTGTAATTTTTCTGGCCTGGAGAGAGCTGAAAAAACAGGACAATGACTCTGGCCTCACTATAGTTTCCCCAATTCGTAAATTAGGTATTCTGATTTCCAGAACATAATGTGCATCCAGAGACCTAGCTGCAGTCAGGTCTAAAATTATGCATTTCAGTTACCAAAATGGCAGTCCAACGAGCCAATCAGGTGACCAACTTCTAGACTGAATTTTATGTTTATTTCTTATTCCGTTACCTCTTATTATTAACAAGCATTTTATGCTGCCACTGCTATTTTTGATTTATCAATTCCATCACTAATTTACTTGTTCCTCATTCCTTCCTATATTTCAGAAATTTCTACTTACCAGGTTTAATTTCTTTGTTTCTGTAATAAATTATTTTGAATTTCTTGTTTGTCAGGCACCTTTTATCTAAAACAAAGTCTTTATTTCACCTTTGTTCTTAGAAGATAATATTATTAGATGTGCAATTCAGTACTGAAGGATATTTTTTCCTCAGATCTTAAAAGAACTATTCAGGTATATTATGGAGTGAGCTCACACTGCCTCAAAAGTACCTATTATATACATCTCTGTCTAATTCTGCATTCAGTAACATCACAATGGTGGTTTGAAAGTTGCCATGCTAGGAGTGTTTACTCCATGTTAGTCAGAAATGCTATAAGACAGGGTCCCTCTGATGCTGTAGAGCCAGTTTTGAACCCAACACCTGTATGTCACTGTTTTCTTCTATCCTTTCTTCCTCTGAGGATGTTGAAAAGCTGACTGTCAGTCTGTCTTGTCTTTGAAAATGCTCTGACCCCCCTCACCCCTAACACTCACAAGCTACTTTTAAGGTCATTTATTTTAATTTGATGTTTTATAGTTTTATGGCCATGTGTCTAATTGTAGATCTCTTTTTAAGTATCTAATTTGATACTTTTATGTTTCCTGTATTATTTATTAATTCTTTTGTCTACATATCCAGTTCATATGTATTTTTATATCTTTCTATTCATTCATTCTCACAAATCCTCAGTATATCAAATAATGATTCTTTCTTATTTTTTTCTATTCAATTACTTTAGATCTATAATAGATAAATCTTAAACTTTCTAACTTTATACTTGAGTCCCTTAGTCTCTTACTATAGTTGTATAATGCTTTATTCTTTATGGGCAATTTTTTGGGTTTATCTTTAAATCTACAAATTTTCTCTTCATATATACTTAATATTTCATTAAGTCTATTCAATGAGTCATTTTTCATTGATTACATATTTTTTTTAATTTTCAAAGTATTTTGTTCTTTTTCAAGTATGCTTGTTAAATAAGGCAGTCTATTGTTCCCATTCTTTGTTGTTGTTGTTGTTATTTCTATCTTTTTACATCTTTAAAGTATTCTATTAATAGTTATTGAGCATTTTGTCTCTGATTATCCCAATATAAGAAGTATGCAATATTCTAAATCTGTTTTTTTTTCCTAACTCTTTATTATGGTGGTTTATTCTCTTATGCTCTGTGTGTGTGTGTGTGTGTGTGTGTGTACTCATAATTCTTTAAAATTATTTTGAGAGAGCTTGATGACCAGCAATTGGGAAACGTTTTTTCCAGACGAGATTTGTGCTTATTTCTGCCAGGTGCCAAGAGGCACTACCAATTGAGGATTATTTTGATTTCTCAGTTGTATTTTTTCTAAACAGACATTAAGTATAAATTTGAGCCCTATATAAGAGCAAACCTCTGGCTGAAGTCTTAGTGGAATAGTCTTACTATTAATATCGTAACTATCATTTTATTATTATTTTTGTGCCTTTTTTCCAATTCAGAGTCACATCAGAAGTTAGCAGGTTTTATGCTTATTCCTTTGCTATTAGATGATATTACACACATACACACACACACACACACATATATGTATATATGTCCATATATATACAGATATGTATATGTATGTGTGTGTGTATATGTGTGTGTGTGTGTGTGTGTGTGTGTATAAATTGAGGCTTATAAGTCAAACAAAGGAACTAACTTACTATCCACCAGTTTATACAGAACTCACAGTATCTATGACTTTTTTAAAACTAAGATTTGTTAAAAAGAAATCTGTTTCAACAGATGACCGTGTATAATACCATGTGGTGAAAGTGAATTCAGACTTATTAAATGATGAACTTGTTAAAAAAAAAAAATACACACAGACACACACACACACACACACTCAGAGAGTCTACTTTTCATGAAAGCTTAATGTAGGAGTCTCAGGTTCAACATCTTTACTTGGCAAGGGCTCAGTGCTTGGATTCCTATTCTTCTTCAAGATGGTTCAGATATTTTCCCTTGATAAATCTAACATTGGTGTATGGCTCACTGCCTTGGTTTTATCCTGTCTCTCCAAAAAATTCCCCCCAAACTTGGGATTCCTCTTTGTTTTCTAAAGCTTAGCAAGACATTAAAATATCTTTGTTGGTTTTAACAAGGCAGAATTACTTTTGGGGGTAGTTTATTTTATACTACTTAAGTCCTCTACTACTTAAGTAGTATACCTTGAATCATTTAACCCTCATTTCAACCAAATCAAATTGTAGGAAGAGAGATAATTAGGTCTATATGACCCCAACATTCAGGCTTTACTCATGGCATCTGCTTTGTGTAGCAGCTCTAGAAACATCCTCTTGCTTATTTTTTTTTTCTCCTCCATGGATCTTGGCACTGTATGTGACACTCCTGTGGCCTTTCTGAGTTAAACGCATAATACATGAGACTGAAAGAACAAAACTTTAAAGCAAGGTACTAAATTTTTTAGAGGAACCTTGATATTCTGTTTTGGATTTTTTGTGAGGAAAGATAGGAAGAACTTAGTTAAAGTTGAGGGAGAGTACCCCAAAAAATGTCTTTATAGTGCTGAAGGGAGGAGACTCCTGTCTGCTGGACTTTCTTTCCATCCAAGCCGCTGTTATACTAACAAGAGCATGGATCTGCAATCAACCTCAACACTTCTGGTCTATGAAATGTCTGTAGCTGGAGGTGAGAGAAGATGATATGAGCACCAGGTTCATTTTTATGGAGGAATACTAACTCTGGGGACCCTTTCAAAGTAGCCTTATGCATCAAAAAGAATATGGATAAGGACAGAGGATACAGGAAGAACTGGCGCAGAAGTGGATAAGTAGTATTAATAACAAAAGTAGTGTCACTCCACAAATTTAGAAAAAAGTCTACTACTACTCCATTGGACATTTTCACTTTAAAGCAAGGATATGCAGGCATTTTTCATAGTAGATACCAAGGGTGAACAAGTTTGATCAATCTATTGTCCCAGTTTTCTTCAGTACCACTAATAGAATTCTACTGTAAAGCGAGAACAAGTTATTCATTTTTTTTTTTCTGTGAAAAGAAAGGCTAATCTGCCATTTTAGAGGCTAGTGATTTAGAGTAATGTGGTATGTGCTACATACATACCATGATGAATAAAAGTCTCTTTCCTGAGAATTCTTGTGCTGTAGAGATGGGTCTATGAAAATAGCAGACATCATCATTCACATTAAAATTGCATTGTGGGCATTCACCTATTAGGTAAGTCCTGGAATGTTGTTAGGTTTATTCCTTTGTTTATTGACATTCCTCAACTTTTAAGAAAGATGTCTTGATCTAGTCTATTGCATCAATGGGCATAAGAGAAACTAACATTAAAAAGAAAAAAGAGAGAGAGTGCATATTTTAGACAGCATCACTCATTTTGGGAAAATTACTTAATTCTTTAGAAAACATAGAAGGGCTTATCTTACATTCAAACAGTATATCTTTACTGCGTGTTTTTTAGTCTCTGTCTAATTTGGCCCTGGTATAAGATCATAGACAC